TTCCACACTCCTCCGCCGGCCCGCTGCACCCACAATTCTCCCCCGACATAGGCACCTGTCGAAACCGCGTAGTTGTAGGTGCCGGGGTAGTTATTATTGTCGGTGTGCACGCTGGAGGGTACATTCTCGAGCACGCTGATGGCATTCCATTCACCGGCCTCCTTCAGATCGCCTCTAACTTGGCTTTGTAAGAATGCGTTCAGGTACCGGACAAGGTTGGGATACTCGAAGGATCGCCTGCATATGCCACCAAAGCCTCCGTGGGCATAGTAGCCGAAGACATGTCGTGCCCTAGGTTCCGCACCACCGTGCACACGCCGGTGCTTGGAGTGCGTCGGCTGTGGAAGCATCTCCATGACCTCCTCCAAGGTCTCATAAGTGTAATCCTCGTCGTCCAGGGCCTCCTTGGCTCGGAGCTCACACTCCACGGTCTTGTCCTTCCTGTCGCCCCTTGCAGCTCCCGCCAGGAACGTGTCCACCACCATCACGTGGGCCAACTCTTCTGGCTCTGAGGCGTTGCAACCACCATCGTCCTGAAACACGTGGCCACCCTTGTAGATCTCGCCGTCACCGTGGTAGTCCTGGTGGATTGCCTCGTCGCGCTCCATGGCTCCACTGGAGGTCTCGCCATCGTCGCGGTAGTCCTGGGGGATTGCCTTGTTGCGCTCCGTGACCGCATTGTAAGTCTCGCCGCCGTCGTGATAGTCCTGGGGGTTTGCCTCGTTGTGCTCCGTGCCTCCACTGTAGATCTCGTCGTCATCGTGGTAGTCCTGGGGGATTGCCTTGTTGTGCTCTGTGACTGTATCGTGGTTCTCGCAGCCATCGTGGTAGTCCTGAGGGATTGCCTCGTTGCGCTCCGTGGTTCCATTGTAGGTCTCGTCACCGCCGCGGTAGTTCTGCTGGATAGCCTTGACTTGCCGCATGTCCCTCCTCTCTCAACCATAGCGGGCTCGTAGTGCTCGTGGTGCTGATCCCGAGTTCGGCCTTCATGATTACCAGTGCAGCCTCCCCCGCTCTCCGTGGTGTCGTGGTCCGTACAGGCATCCTTTCTCAGCGTCGCCCAGGTTGGGCCCCCACTCCGTGACGATCCTTCAGGACGGCCAGTCGCGTCTCGAGTTCCTGTATCTCGCTCTCCACCTCCCTCGGAACGTCCTGGTTCATGTGAACATGGGCGCAGGGGTCCTCCTCCGCCGGCCGACGGGCTCCCCTCTTTGGTACGACCGGCTGTGGGGCAGCGGCCTTGCCCCGGCGGCTCGTTCACCACGGACCATGCTGACGTACTCCCCGTCGCTCCTGTTGTTGGCATCGGTAGGGGTGGAATAACGGCAGAAGGTTCCGGGTCGTCGTAGTAGTAGCCCCCGGTGTAGGTCGTCGCCTGCTGCTCCTTCTTCTCCCTCCGCCACGTGACATACCGGCCCAAGCCCCGTAGTTGTCCGGTATCTCCACATAAGGTACTCCGCGGTGGCGTCCCACCGTCATGATGGTCTGGTCCGGTGCCACGGCATCGCGAATTCGCAGCGTGAGGCTCCCCTTCGTCTCCTTCGGTCCGTAGCCGATCCCGATGGCCTCCGCTTCCGCTCGTAGTTCCGGTAGGGACATGGAGGTCAGGTGCTTCGGAAACATCGGCGCAATCTCGTTGTGCTCGGTCAGGAGGTGACGGAGCTCCGGTACAGTCCACCGTGGGTGGAATGCGATGCCCAGCCTCGCACATTCCTGCTGTAACTCCACCTTGGTCATCTTCCATGGCGCGGGTCGGGCACTCATAACGAGGTTCCGGGTCGCGTGGGCGTTGTGCTGCTCGGTTGAAAACGCTGCGGCCGATCCATAGCACTGAATATCCATGTGCGCCACCTATCAATGACCGTGGACAGCTCTCTCTGGGTTGTGCATGCGATGCCCCAACTTTCCCGAACATCCCCAAGTGCATCTAGTAGTCTGTCACGATGTAGTGTCTTCGATGTCTGCCACCTAGTTGCACAGAAGAAGGACTTACGGGGAGTCACATGGACCCTGATAAGTTTGTGCTCGGTTTCTATCCAGAAGTCATTGGTAATGGCCGTAGAGTTCCACCAACCCAGCAATGTATTCATGTTGAGCGAGTCAGCTACCAGGGCCTCGTAGATGGCAGGGGATATCTTCTTGGCATAGAACAGGTTGGGGTTCCCTACAACAGCCTGCCTTTCACCTTCATGCACCTCTCCCTGCTTAGACTCCCGTAGTACAGCTTCCCCATGTCCCACCACGAAACTCATGTAGGCACCGCGGGTCTTCAGGATCCCGAGTTCCTTGTCCCCCCATGCCTTGGGCACAGAGTTGGGATCGATGGCGGAGCTGCCGATACACTGTACCATCAGGGCCGGGTGTCCTGAGGGAGTGGAGGCCAACTTAAGCCCTCAACATTGATCTTTCTAAAGTTCGCGACATTGTGCTCAACATCGAACATCATGCCCAGACTCGCCAACAGGGGGCGCGAGAGAAGTAGTGGGATGTCGCCGTAGATGACCGCGGCCTTGATTGCCAACCAAGTCCCGCCGACCTTGGTGAGAATCACAGCCGCATTGCTCGACTCGTAGACCCGGCTCGCCCCGAATCGGAAAGACTCCCTTTCATTGATGAACTCGTAGGGGTAGGCCTTGTGTCCGTCACCTCCGGCTTGGGCCTTGACGTCGTCGATGTAGCGCTGTAGCCAGGCCGTTCCCACAACGCATCGAGAGCATGCGGTGTCGGTGATGGCCAGTAGGGGTCCTCCTCAACCGGTGGTCAACTCGAACACCTCGTTGGTCACATGGATGCTGTGGGCCTTCGGGTCCTGGTTGCTTGTTCCAGCCTTTTTTTTTGGACATATGGCGTCCCGATGCCAATGTCCCTTCTGCCCGCACGCCGCGCAGTGGCTTTTGCTCTTAGCCAGAGCCACCTTTTGCTCCGCCGTTTTGCGAACGGCTTCCACGTCCACTCCTCTGGCCTTGGCCGCGTCCTTGTATCGAGCCTTCGCCGTCATGTAGGACACGTAGAGGTCGCCATTGTCGTGCTCGCCGAGGTCGTCCTGTAGCACCGGATCCTCTTCGCCTTCTTCCTCGTCCTCGATCTCGTCGGTCATGTGGACGGTGTTGGTGCGACCCGTCCGCTCCCAGGGTTTCCGCATCGAGCGATCTAAGATGATCGCGGCTTGCTGCAGTTGCTGGAGGTTGTAGCGGTTCCCTACCGAAGCCAACAAACTGACCTCAGTGGACTCATCAAGGTTCGCCCGATCTACGAACAGCCATGCCGAGGCTATGTCAGGAAGCCGACATCCGCACTCGGCCACCCTCGCTGAGAGACGGTTGTACTCGGCAACGTAGTCGCGGAACGTCTGAGCCGGTCTCCTCTTGAGCTTCCTGAACAGGTCGCTCAAGGACCTGCCGATGGAGGTCACCTCGATGTCCAGGTAGTGCTGAGTCACCCAAGCCTTGAAGTACTCCACGCCGTCGGGGGAACTCAACCTGTCAACCGCGAGCTGTTCGGCGTTTATCCAGGCGGCACCTTGGAGGTGTTGGTAGAGTACGAGGGCGCGCTGGGATCGTCATTCTTTCCCAAGCGGCCACCTGACGCAGGTAGCTTCGGGCTGAGGTGCCCAGCTCTCCGCCCTCCCCTTCTCCTCGGAAGACCGGGACCATGATCTTCTCCGAAGGGCCGCCAGGTCGGGGTTCGTAATCCGCCTTCGCTGTTCCCGTTCCGGTAGCCGTGGGTCGTGTAGTAGACGTTGCATCGGGAGTCGCCGGAGAGGAGTTCCCGGTGCCCCAGGTAGTGCCCGATGTAGGCTCGCCTGTAGTCGGCAGGGTCCCGGTGGTACTCCCGTTCATGGTTGTAGGATCGCTCCACCGCATCGCCGGAGGACTCCAGGAAGCACCCGTCCACCATGCCGTAGGGTTGTTCCAGTAACCGTTGCTATGCCAAGGCTGGCCCCAGCCGCCGTAGCCGTTCCAGTCACCATGCTACCCTTGTCGCCACGAAGTCTGGGACCACGAGTTCCCTCCGTTCCAGGATCCGTCCGAAGACCTCCTGGCATTCCAAGAGCTTGCGCCATTGTCTGCTGTGCTCCCATCGCTGCTTGCATCCGGTGCTTCTCCTCGACGAGGTTCCCCACTCCAATCCTGAGCTTCCACAGGGTTGGGGGCAACATCTCCCCAGCCGGCGCCCTGTGGAGGCGCTTCCGATTGGTCCGCCCAAGCGGCGGTATCCCACTGTCCATCGTCAGGAGACGCACCCGTCTCTGTCTGAGCCGCACGGCGACCGTCTTCATCATTGCTCGCCCTGCTCCAGGGATCTCGTTGACTGCCCCACCACGGGTCGGGCTGCTGCTCGGCCGACATGGCCCCGGGCCGCTGGCTCCGCTACCAGTGACAGCTTATCGTAGGAATCAGCTGCCACTGGTAGCTGACACCAAAAAAACACGCACAGCTAACAAGTCGAGACAGAAGCTTTTCTACCTCGAAACAAACTCTTGTGCCTCCCAGAGCGTCGGCAGCGGTCACATCTCTGCCAGACCTTCACGTTTACACCTAAGCCCCAAACCTTAAACCCTCAACCCTAAACCCTCAACCCAAACCCCTAAACCTTTCCGAGGCCCCAACGAAAGGCGAGGCCAAGAGCAGCGGCCGCAGCGGCCGGGACGAGGCCGCCGGGCTCGGGGTTTGGGGTTCCGCGCTCTTTAGGGTTAAGGGTTAAGGGTTTAGGGTTTAGGGTTTAGGTTTCAAGTTTTAGGGTTTAGGGTTTAGGGTTTAGGGTTTAGGGAATAATGACCAATACTATTCTGGGGGCTCCTTATCATAAAGGGTTTAGGGTAATTTCGGGAGGGGTTTAGGGTTTAATGTAGGGGGCCTCAATAATTACCTTTATTATTTTGGCCTTAATTATTACCTATATTACTTTGGGGGCTCTTTATTTTATAATTACCTATATTATTTTGGCCTCAATAGGTTCCTATATTATTTTGGGGGGTTCCTTATTTAGAATTTATATTATTACAGTATATGCCAAAACCTTATTCTGACTATTAAGGCGCCGACATTTTGGTGTTCCTTTACGCATCTTCAAAGGGCGGCTTAGGGCTCCTTTGAGGGCTGCCGGGTTCAGGGTTTGAGGTTTCGGGTTTAGGGTTTGGGGTGAGGGTGTTAAGTTCAGGGTTTAGGGTTGCTTCAAAGGGCTTGGCTTCCAGGAGGTTTAGGGTTTGGGTTTCTTTTGGCGCTTAGAGCTTAGGCTTAAGTGTCCTGTAAGGGGCTCCAAAAACAAGGTTCTGCAACACTTTGCAAGGGTTCCACTCTTAGGTAGCATTAGGGAGACCCCTTAAATTTAAAGGGGACACTTCTTAACCCTACTTATGGCTCTCTTAAAAAGGGCCCTTATTAGGACGGTCTATATCCCCAAGTGTCCCGTAGTCCTAACTCCTATCCGCAAGGCTTGTACGAGGATGCCTATGGGTTGTATCATCCGCCTTCTATCAGGCTTCGTAATATTTTAGGTACGGATTGTCTGGGGGTCTAATTTAGAAATGAAATTATATGCGCTTCAGGCTTTTTGAGTCAGGTGTTGAGTGTTTCGGACTTCTGTTTCCAAGGTTTAGGGGTTCATAGGGCTTAGGATTTTGAGATGCTTGCGGTTGGGCTAGGATTGTCGCTCTACCGGTTCAGCATTTCAGGTTGCAGCATGTTTTCAAGCAGCAGGGGACTCAGAAAGTAGGGTTCTAAGTACCTTATCCAGGCCCTCAGTAACAAAAACTTATGCCGGGTATTAGCCCTACTTAGTACGGCCCTGATCCTTGACACAGTAGTTTAGTAAGAGGCGCAGCAAGGGGCTGCAGGAACTTGCAGCTTCATGGCTAGGGTTTCCGCTGTATGTTTTAGGGATGTTTAGGGCTTAGGGTTCAGGGTTTAGAATAGGAGTCTGAACCACCGTACTATAAGCACCTAGAGTCCTAGAGTTTGGATACGTTGAGGCCCCCTCAAAAGTCTACACAAAGTAGTAAAGACTTCCGCCACAGGCCCGGAGCCTCAAACCTTACTGCGAAGCCGCAGGCCATAAACCCAGAATACTCGGCCACCAGTTCCCCCCCCCACTCCCGCCCCAAATCCCCACGGCCAAACCCCACACGAACCTCGTGAGCCTTTTGGGGCTTTCTGGGATTCAGACCCTAAACCCTAAACCCGGGATGGCTGGAGGTTTGGGGAGCCGGACTTGGGACAGAGCCCTTAGGGGGTTAAGGGTTTAGGGTTTGCTAGAGCTGGCGGACCAATTCGGAGTAAGATGGTCCTTTTTTTCTCATGTAAGTGTAGATAACCCCAGAAGCTTCGTTTGTTTGTCCTGGCTTAAGGGTTGCATCAGGGATCTGCCCTAAACCCGTTAGGCCCTAAACCCTAAACCCTAAACCCTAACTTTGGTTGGACTCAAGCTCCTCTGGACCTTCTGGATCAAGCAGAGCACTCGGCATCAGCCTGCTAGGTCGATCAGTTCCACATGGTAGTTCTCTAAAGTAGAGTCCCTTTCTAGGTCCCCAATGTAGTACGGCAACCTTATAAAAAGGACCCGAAAAGGGACCCTAATTTAGAGAACTAGCCACATTTTTCGGCATGATCCAGTTTTTATCAGTTCTGTCTGCTTTCTCGGTGCTGACGGTCGCTCATCGGACTCGGACAGTTACAGGTCTAGATGCTTCTGTCCGCCGGAAGCTGCCTATTATGATACTGGAGGATGAGGAAAAGTGCGAGGAAATGGCGAACGTGCGAAGACGATTCTTGGAGCAGGCCAGTGCCGAATGTGTCAATCAAGTCCACGGTTTTATCACGGAAGTGGCATCAAAGTGCCTTCACGACGACGCGCCAACTTGTCAAGATTTTCTGTGGAGCATCTTCACATGCGGTGAACACATGGTGAGCAGGGCGACACACCGAAAGAGACATGGAGATACTGCTGAGAATGCTCGAAGCGACACCATCATACCGGACTGGTACGCTCCCCTCATTCAGGCGTCCAAGTCCGGAGCACTGCTTTGGGCTGGCTTCTGGGACGGTGATGAGTCCGGAAGAGGCACTTTACAAGCATTGGAGGAGTTCGCACGCATGGTTGACCATGACCCTGTGCACCCCAACACCTACATCGGGAGAGCTGTCAGGAATCAAGACGACTTTCAGTCCTGCTTCAAGGATGGGAGCAAGCCTGCAAAGAGGGCGATGCATCACTTCTGGACCTATACCAGCTTTGCTTTTGTCACAGGTGGGGGCTTCCGAAAATTAATAAATGACCCTAACATAGTATCGCAAATAGTAGGATCCTTATTATAAGGACACCAAAATATAAGGAACCCCTTATTTTCGGAAACTCCCAGGTATGGCAATGAAAGACCAGAGGTGCGTCATCGCCGTCGTGAATAAGCCGATGGAGGGCGAGCGGCCCCTCCAGGATTCTGTGGCTAAGCTGTTGTCGCTAGCGTTTTTAGGGGCTTATAGGGTTTAGGGCTTAGGGTTTGGGGCTTAGGGATTAGTGCTTAGGGTTTGGGGTTTAGGGCTTAGGGTTTGAGGTTTAGGGAGTTTAGGGTTTAGGGTTCTTAGGGTTTGGGGTTTGGGATTCAGGGCCTAGGTTCCGACACACGAACAGAAGGGCCCCTGTAACCATAGCCTTCCTTTGATGAATCGAGGTCTTGGCATTGTACGAGGCCCCCAGCATTGGTGCTGCCGCACATCGGTTTGGGTGGAGGCCACTGTTTCATCAAACCTTCATTCCTAAGCCCTAAGCCTTAAACTGCCCTTAACCCCAAAACCTTAAATCCCCTAGAGGCCGCAGCTTCTTGTAATCGACCTCCTTGGCACCTGCAGCGAGACGACGCCCTTCCTCGTGGAGAACGCCATGGAAGGATGGCAGCGTATGAAGCTTGACGGCACTCCACTCTGGTTACCCTAAACCCTAAACCCTAAACTCTGAACCCTAAACCCTAAGCTCTGAAGCCTGAACTCTAAACCCTAAACTCCGAAGCAAACTCTGAAGCCTGAGCCCTAAAGCCTAGCATCGTACCAAGACACATGAGCTTTGTTCGGGCATCGAAGAGCAGCCAAGGAAGTACTCTTACAGTCATGTCTCTGGTCTGCGGTTAGACAAGGTGGACTGCATCCCGTGTCCACCGCCTGGCTGTAGTCTCAATCAGGAGCTGGCGAACCAGGTGACGGCGCGGCTCAAGCAGTAGCGGCTTTACGCTTCGACTTGACGGATGCATCTTGGGTCTCACTCATGTGGAAGTCTTGGTTGATGACGGCCAGACTGGAAGCAAGATTGTCTCCATCTCTGCAATAAGATGGGGGCATGAAGAACTGCCAACATTCCTCTTTGGCGTTCCTTCGTATAACTACAGCCATACTTTATTTTAGCGCAAAGCCCTGCTCTCATCGGCGAAGGCCCCGTATTTTGTGAACGTAGCTGTTTGATCCTATTTCTGACCATGCCTGGCGTGACCTCGACTTTACCTTTGTAGCGCCTGGACACATGGTGCATACTGCAACTGATTACGGGCCCTTATATTGGGATTCGTGTCGCAATCCCCTTCAAGGTAAGTATGAATGCTCTCATGTAGCTAAGTGTGGAAAGTTCCACTCTAATGGGACATACTGCAGGTCAAACTGGTCAGAGATGTTTCAGAATCGAAGAATCGAAACTGGGAGCTCCGTAGCATTTTCGTGTTACACTATACTATACTACTGCCATGCTATACTAGCCTATGCTATACTATACCACAAATTGTAGGGTCTTGGGATTCATCAAAGTTGCAGCAGAGCCCGCAACCCCAATGGCCAGGTCCAAGGCAGTACAGCCCGGAGCTCGAAATCCTCTGAAACAAGAATCGTACCCTGCAGCTCAAAGATTAGGGTTTAGGGTCCCGAGGTGGAAGGATTTCTCCGACCCCAAACCCTAAACCCTACACCCGGAATCCTAAACCCCACACCCCAAACCCTGAGCCCTAAACCCTACACCCCAAACCCTGAGCCCTAAACCCTCAACCCTAAACCCTGAACCCTAAAACCGAACCCTAAACCCTCTTGAACCCCCTCCTTACCGAACCTCTTGAGGCGCGCCGACGGGTGAGCGCCGAGATGGCGCGCCGCAGCGGGCCCAGTGGAGGCCAGGACATGTCGGAGCCGCAGGGCTTTGGGCTTAGGGTTTAGGGCTTAGGGTCTAGGGTTTAGGGCTTAGGGCTTTGGGTTTAGGGTTTAGGGCTTAGGGTCTAGGGTTTAGGGCTTAGGGCTTTGGTTTTAGGGTTTAGGGTTTAGGGTCAAGGGCTTAAGGTTTGGGGTCCAGGGCTTTGTGGTTTGGGGCCTGGGGTATTGGGTTCTAGGGTTTAGGGCTTAGGACCATTTTTATAAGGGTCATCGCCCCTACCATGCACTGCACGACGTCGCTGGGTAGTTTGTTAAATTAGGGTACCTTTTAGGGCACCTTTTCACACGGGTTTTCGTACAATCTTGGGGACCTAAACAGGGACGCTAATGTAGAGAACTGCCGATATAGAAGCTCGAATCTTTATCAATCTAATTCCTTCGGCCTCCCTGTTATGACAATTAGTCGATGCCCCAAAACCCCATTCTGATGGTCTTCCCGGCTTAAGGGTTTAACGGTTCAAGGGCTTACTATAGGGCTTGATAATTAGGATAAGGTTTTGGGTATATTCTACTATAAGTGTAGTAAGGAACCCCCCAAAACCCTATTCTAATTGTTAAGGCCCCTACATTGAGCTGGGAAGTCTAGAGGTTTCTGGCACCATTGCCAGCAAAATAGACTAGTGGAACAGACACAGCCGGAACCACCATCAAGAAGGGTAGCACCGTTTTTGTTCGAGGCAGTAGTAGCAGTATCAAAAGCAGCAGCAGTACGTACAAGAACGTTGGAAATAACATCAGCACTCATCACTAGTCACTAGCCATAGCCGAGCCCTGAGCCCAAAATCCCAAGCCTTAAATTCCCTAAACCTTAATCCCTATAATCCTACGCCCTTCAAGCCTTTCATGCCCCCAAAGGCTAAGTGGAATGAGGTGGGTAGCTTTCTAAGGTTTTAAATCCCCAATATAGTACGGCACCCTTATAAAAAGGACCCGAAAAGGGACCCGATTTTGGAGAACTACCCTAAACCCTAAACCCTAAACCCGGGACCCTAAACCCTAAACCCTAAACCCTAAACCCTAAACCCCAAACCCGGGACCCACGTAGCTACGGTCATGGCTCAACCTCAGCCAAGCCGCGCTCGGGAGGCCTTCCCAGGCCGCTGCAGGATCGGGCCTGGTGTTTCGGAGTTTTTGCTTTAGGCTTGAGGGTTTAGGGTTTAGGGTTTAGGGTTTGGGGGTTTAGGGTTTAGGGTTTAGGTTTGTTTTTAGACTTCTTAGGGTGTAGGGTGACTAGAAGGGTACGATGGTGCTTCAGACTTTAGGGCGTAGGGTGTGGAGTAGTTTTATTTCAGGGCTTTCGAGTCAGAGGGGGGGTGGAGCAGAGGGTATGGAGAGATTTGTCGGTTCTGTCTCAGTCTTTGCCCTAAACCCTAAACCCTAAACCCTAAACCCTAAACTCTAAACTCTAAGCCCTAAGCCCTAAGCCCTAAGCCCTAAGCTTGCAGATTGCGAGGCCGGGCTTGCTCTCGGATTTCTGCAGCTTAGGGTTTAGGGTTTAGGGTTTAGGGGGCTTAGGGCACGGCTGTGTCCTCTTGGAAAGAATCCTGCTACTAAGTCTTCAGGCCCCTTCTGTTAAATCCTGTAATATAGGGCCTTAATAGTTAGAATAGGGTTTGGGGGTATATTACTTACGGGACACCTTGCCCCATTAACCTATGGAGCCATTTCGCCAACTCGGCGCCCAAATCTTAGCCCAAAAAATCCCGAAACCCATATCCCCAAAACCCCGTTATACCTATACGCCAAATATCAAGCCAAAAAATCCCGAAACCATATTCCCGAAATCCCAAGCCCAAAATC